GTAAGTTGTGATTACATAAGTGTTCATTTTCTACAAAATTCTTTAATCTATTTATGTTTTATGCCCTTTTCTGTATTTACATTGCACAATGAAGGTTTTTAAAAAGCATAAATTTCAGTGATATGCAGAGGTCAAAGATATATTAAATTAAAAGCAGGTTCTACAACCGTGTGTCTAATACCAAGATTTTTCACCAAACAGATAGATACATATCAAAATGTTAAGGGGCTGAAGATTTTCAATAAGGGCTAGGGTGCTTCAGGGATATCTGAAGGACACAAAAATAAGCTATGTTACGTATAAATCTTTCTTTTCAAATCTTTATATGAATAATTGAGAAATAACAGACTTTGTGTAGTTACACACAGGATACATATGTTCATTATTTGGATAGTTTTCTAATACACATGATGATGATCAACAAGTGGATAGCATTTCAAATGCATAATGTACTTCCTATAAGTCACTGTTGGTTTAGATGTTTGCTTTTATTGTTGAATTTGTTTACCAAAATCATCTGTCACACTACCTTAACAATGTCAAAGTGATTCTTAAAGTGGTAGGAAGACATCCTGACATCTATTCTGTGGCCCTAAGGCTTTAATGTTGTCATGGATCACATTTATGAAGGCATCATAATGTTACAAACAACTGTCATAAAAAGGAAGATCCACCATGTTGAATAGTCTACTATGGCTTTGTGGCTTTGTTATGAAAACTATATCGTAGCAGTAGCCCAGTATTATAATTACACATTGAAAGTATGCTGTACATAATTTATTTTGATAAGAAATAATAGGCCCACATTCTACTGCACAATCTTGGTCTTTATAAGTCACTAAGATGACTTTCAAAGGTTAAAAAGTCAAAAAAGTTTGTGATTAGAATCTACTATTGATTTGACAAACGGTTTTGGGGGCATGACCCAGAAAAATTATTTCAGAAAAGAAGAATGCTCTCTTTTCTCATTTAGAGAATAAGAAGATGACACTTATTTCTGTATAATGAGTCTAATTACATCCAGAATATACAATCAGGTAGTAACATCAAGTGTTCCCAGATTAA